TTGAAGAGTTCGTGGTCCGTTTTAAATTTGTGGACGGAGCTTCAAATTCTAAGTTTCCGATTTTTTTTAGTGAAGAGCGTTCGGTTTTTTTAAAAGTTAGAAAATTGACAAATGAGGCTACCGCTGCAAATAAGCCAATTTCAGTAGGAGGTCCCGCTACAATTAGCATTTCAGTTTAAGAAAATATATATTGACGGACCAAAATACCTTTGTTTATTAATTAATGCATGAAGAGTGCTCCAAGTTAATAAGAATAAAATTGAAAATAAACAATTAATGCAGTATTGGAATTAAAAAGTGACAGATAACACCAAACAAAATAAATTCAGAACAGAGAGAGTATTAATAATAAAATAAAAATAGAAATAGCAGTTCACTTTACAAGCAGGTCTGCAGTTGTTTAGGTTTTTGGGGGGGAAAATTAAGGGTTCGTGCAAAGAGATGGATCCAGAGCACGCAGGATCGGCGCCGGAGAGTGTTAAACAAGGGTGGCGGTGGAAGCAGATGGGGAATGAAGAGAAGACGGCGGCGGTTGAGGAGGAGATAAAGAGGGTGCATCAGCTGCCGCCCAAAAGCAGTTACGCCTGCCACCGCTTGCGTGTCTTGACCAAAATTCACCAACTTCTCTCAATTCAGGTTCGTTTGTTCATTCGTCTGGCTTCCTGTGAATTCAATTGTGGTTTATATGTTGTTATAAGTTTTTCTTTTTCATTCGATGCAAATTTCCCCTTAATGTTGAAAATCTAGGGTTTCAATGTAATATGTATATATATACACACCTGATTGTTGTATTGGTTTATGTATGAAAACGGAAAATGAAATGATGGAAATGATATGTACTCAGAATCGTAGTGGTGATGAGAAAACCGGAGAAGATGAAGAGTAAATGTTACGATTATTAGGGGAATTGCATCTTATTACTGTACTGATGAAAATGAAACCAATTGTGTGAATTGTGTAAAAAACTCAAGTTAACGATTTCCATCAAAAAGAAGAAAAAGGAGTCGATTTTACACGTTGATTTAGCAAATACATTATAGCCCAAGATTCTGTTCACAGAAACGTTGAAAGCACTTTGTTTCCATAAGATGTTGTTATTTTACCACTCTACACTTTTAAATTTGTGTGCAAGAAAACATACCATAAATTTCAGAGGTGCTATTCTACTAGATTCTTTCGGTACTTCTTACTTCCCGAACCTTGGATTGTGCATTTGATAACCATTTATACTAAAATAGTTATATCCCAATTGATTTTCTTTGTCGACAGAGAACCACATCACAAGAAAAGGAGTTGGAGTTGCTTTTCTCTGGGCTTCATATCTGAATAGGTATGTTGATGTACATGAACTTGCTTAGTGTATTTAACGGTTTCTTTCTTGCCCTGTTTCTTTTTTTTTTTTTGTTTGTTTGATCTGCTTTTTGATTGTGCTTAATGTAGTTGAATAGGATGCATGATGGGGTTTGATTAAAAATATATTTATTTTTTTCTCAATCACCTTGGATATGGAATTCGGTACAGCTTAACTTTATGAAATGGTATTGACCCTTCTTCAGATTAACAAACTTCCTACTTATATTGCAATTTTTTTAAAATACCTTAATCATGTGAAGCATAGTTTGTCATTGAAGATAACATTTTATTCGCCCACTTTAATACACGTGACTTCTCAGAAAACAACGTCTGCTTGCAACAGTAAATCTTTTTTTCTCTTTTCAAATTGTTCGTTCGTATCCAAGTTGCTGGTTTCACGAGATACATACACACACACACACACACACACATATATATATATATATATATATATATATATATATATATATATTGGTTTCAGAATTCGCTGCCTTTGTTTGGTGCAAGTGCAGTAAGTAACTAACGCAAGTGTTTAATGCCAAGTTTTTCAAAGTTTCAATCAGCTTGAGAATCACGACCTTCAAAGATTTCTCAGCTCTCACATCCATGTTAAAAGCTTATGTGAATTTCTTTTCCAAGATAATGGCAACTATTTTCGTAGTCCCTTGTTTTTCAGTTTGATGTAATTTTCTCTGGTTTTTTTGCGTGGCAGAAAAAAGTTCGACTGGATTTGCGTTTCATAAGCAAGACACTCACAGTCACAGAATCTAACATGACAGATGAACTTTACCACTCTCTGCTCGTTGGAGTTTAAACTATTTTTTTTTTCTGATTACGTAATTGGATTTTACAATGGAAACTGGGGAACATGGATCGGATAACAGCAAGTGCTGACTTTCATGTGTATATTTTGTTATATAACTCCATAGAAAAGTTTCAATTGTAAGCATTTATCTCTTAGTAATTGAACACTGTAATTAGTGCATAAATATATAAAGTGTGAACAACTTTTTATTTCACCAAATAAATGATTCCACAAGTTGTTTTAGTTGCTCCGATATAGATTGCTCGAAAACTTTGGGCTCTTGTATGATTGGCCCACTCACATATACCGAGTTTCATTGTACAACACACAATCATCGGAGCATATTATACTACAACAAATAAACTCTTTTACAGACGCGATCGAATGAAAATCTTTGGCCGACGAGTTGACTCAGTCGTTGAACTCTTGGGCGGGTCTTCGGAAAAGTGTTTGAGATGCCCTAATTGTTCTTCTGTTCTGATCAGCATGTTACTTTGCTCTTGTTGCATTATCTCCAGTTTTGCTTGCATTTCTTCCACCACTACTGAATTTTGCTTCCTATAGTTGTTAGAAAGGGTGTCTGAAGGGGGCGGCCCCCCCTTCAATTTTCCTTTCACAACTGCATAAAATTGCATACCCCCTACAGATAAAACATTTAAATCAAGATAAATCATCAACTAAAGAAATTTAATTTGAAATACTTTCAAATATAATTTGTAAAATTGGAATATTAAGTTATTTAATTGCTCCATAAAGTGCAACAAATACACAATAATCAAAAGAATAATTCTACTTTTCATATGAGGGTTATAAAATTGATGCAGAAAGAACCAGGGTGAGAACCTCTAAGGAGGGACTCGTTCACGGCTGAGTCAACGGCAAATTTACCGACGTTTATTATTTTGGCGGCGGTCCACCGGAGCTCCTCCGTTATCCCCATCACCGTTTTCTTTTCTTTTATTTTTTCCTGCAGATATATCAGTCCGGGAAATATCTTTTAATTTAAGGGGGCAACTATTTTGAATACTAATTTTTGCTTAGTTGAATACTACCTAGTTGAAAACCACAAATGAGTACATATTTTTAAGTTTTTTCTTACTTTAATACCAAAATAAAAATAAAAGTACAAAAATACCCTTTCATACAAAATACTAATTACATCAATTTTTCTTTGAAATTACCTATTTGAAAACCAAATAAAAAAAAAGAAAAAAAAAAAATCAAACACAAAAAACTCCTTCCGTCCACCTCCCTCCGTCCACGCCGCCCGACGCCGCCGCCGCCGCTCCAACCATCGCCGCCACCGGACGCCGACGCCAAACACCGCCGAACGCCGCCCACGCCGCCCAACGTCGCCCAAAGCCGCCGCCGTCGTCGTCTTCGAATAGTAAGTTATAGTTGTTTCGATTTTTTTTTTCTTTAATATTTATTTAAGATTTGAATGTTTGATATGGGTAATTAGGATTTGGTTGTTTTAGGTTAGAATGATCGTTAATTAGTAATGGGTGCATCTGATTTCAGTCGATTTGAGCATTGATTTGAGATTCGTGGGTCGGTTCTTCGTTCACCATTTTCGACCTGTACATGTCGATTTTCGATGAATTTTCGACAGGTTGATGTCGAAAATTCATCCAAAATCGACATGTAGATGTCGAAAATGGTGAAAGTGTTGAGTTTGGATTTTGTAATTTTCGACAGTTAACTGTCGAAAATGAGTTGCATTTTCGACAGCAACCTGTCGAAAATTCAACCAATTTTCGACAGTATCAACCAAATTTCGACAGGTTGCTGTCGAATTTGAACTGGGATATTTTTTTTTTTTTTTTTTTTTTTCCTATTTTTATTTGCTTGTGTTTATATTATGTATATTAATTTTTATTTGTGTGTTATTTTGCAGTGGAAGAACCACGTCAACCTCGTATACCTCCGACTGTCTCGAACCGTAAAAAGAGGAAGGAATTATCCGATAAAGGCAAGGGCATAGCAATCACGACCAAGAAAAAGACCACGACCAAGAAGAAGTCTGGAGAGGGTTCTTCGTCAACGAATCCGGTGCCGGCTCTACATTCGACTGTACAAGTTGGTGATTCGAGCAATGAACCGGTCCTAGGTCCCGAGATACCGGAATTGTACACAAAATTTGATAAGCACATTGCTTATCATATTGTGAACGGAGGGCCAGATCGTTCGGAGCGCGGCTCAGAATTTCGAATACGAAATCACACAACAACTTTGAAAGGTTGGGAGCCGGCGCCGTTTATTAAAGAGGTAGTACAAAGATGTGGTTTAATGTCAGTTGTACAGGCATCGTACAACACTGTGGACGGCCATCTACTTAGAGCCTTCGTAGCGAGCCGATGGGAGCCTCAGTCAAAGACTACTTCAACGCCTGAACGAGCGTCGTACCTGCGATCTCGATTAGATGATTTGATCCCCGATCAGGTAACATACCACTTTAATAATTTGTTATTACTACTTAAGTAGGTTTTTACATCTAATTTTTTATTTATTTTAATAGGTTATATGGTCACCGTATACGGCTATTCGTGATCGTTTCCCGATGCCAGATTCTGCTTGGTTTAGTGGGATGATATGTTGCATGGACCACTTCGAGGCATATCATCCGGACAGAGTGTTGAGGCAGTTCAACCGGGTGCAAATCATTCCAGGTCGTGCATACATGTCAAAAGATATGTACAAAGCTCTAGTTAGCAAAGATCGACCGGTCCAGAACTCAATTTTCGTTGCGTACGGCGAACGATTCTCTGATCGGTGGGAGGAGTATTGTCTGGACGAGGAGTCGAGGTCCGTTGAAATTGAACTCGGGGAGGCGGACACTTCGCCGGACTACATGGATTGGTTCCGACCCAGATGCATGTTACAACTGAGTAGGCATGGAGCCCATCCACCTCGACCCCAGGCGGATCGACCTCGACCCCATGAAGCTCGTCCAGAGGGTGGTACCGATAAGGAGGTCCAACTTTCACAAATTTTGGAGTTGGTAAAGGGTACACTTAGCGAGGTGCGGGGACTTGCGCCATCCGACGCTCATACGGTCATGTGGGGGACCCTAAATGATATTGTCAGATTGATCGAGCCGGATGCCCCACATACTCAAAATGTGATTTGTCCCGAGTGCTTGATTTGTCTTTCCTATTTTTTGCCGGTCGACCTTTGCTAACAACTTTTTCACTAGGCTCCGTAAGGTTAGTCTTCTCTGGGTGGGTAAAATGTCTCAAATGGTTGCGCAATCGAGTTTTTGCATCGAGATCGGCACATTCAAAGAGCTTCTGGTATTCCGATAATTCTTCGTCGATGGTTGGTAGGATGACTTGGCCTGTGGTCGCGACGGGCTCCATACTCATGTGTTTCCAATACGAGCCTATTAACTCAAGTGGGATAGGACATTTGTTCACAACAACATACTCATGAAGTTCATGGCGACATGGTAGACTGTGGGTTGTTCGGATGGCGCAACTACAACCCATATCGCTCGGTTGCAATAGTTTCGCATTGTCCACCTCAACTTTGAGTAGTTGTAGAGCGTATTTTGAGATACTTCCACGAAGCTCATTGTATATCAACGTTTTGAAAGTGTGCTCGTAAGTATTTTTACTTACTTCAAAGGAAGCCTTGATGTCATTGTGTTGTTCGACAATTTGATTGTGGACTTTCGTATACAAATCCACAAATGTGCCAGTTGGATTACGCACATCCCTTTTCATTCGTCCGTGTGCCCCCTCCACCCTATTAGAAGTGTACGTTCCAAAATGAGTATACTTATTTGTCCACACCGATACAAGTCTCTCCTTGTACGGATCCAACCATGAATTAGCTACATACTCTATAGCCGGGAGATAACCAATAAATGTTCTTTTCAAATCCTCCCAATCCTCATTGAACTCCTCTATGGTATTTCTTTCAATAAGAGCCGAAAAACTCGACTGAAATTGCTTCCATTTGGTGATGTCCTTTGGGAACAATTTCTTACAATTGGCCACTATATTCTTGTTCACATGCCACCGACACAGCAAGTGATGACTCGATGGATACACATTGGCCACTGCTTTCATTAAACCCAAATCTCGATCTGTTACAATGCAATTAGGCCAAGGACAACTGGTCATGGCCTCCTTCAAACAACGCAACGCCCATTCAAAATTTTCCGTCTTTTCGTGGTCCAAGTAAGCAAAGGCAATTGAGAACGTCTTGTTGGTACAAGTAAAACCCACAATCTCAAGAAATGGGAGTCCGTAACGATTGGTCTTGTACGTGCAATCGATGACGAATACGTACGGATACGACTGTGCCAACTTAATGCATTTCGGGTGGATCCAAAACAAGTCGGTAATCGCATTCAACTCGTTCGATCTATGGTACGAGAGGTATTCATCTTCTTTCAACTTGACAAACAATGATTGCAATTGAGATCTCCCATCCAATTCACTGAAATTTAACTTAGAGATAGTATTGTAAACTGTCTTCATACCAGTTACATTAGACGGGTCCTTTTGCTTCAATGCTCTTAGAATTGCCCTTGGTTTCACCATTGCTTTCTTCATAGTGTGAACAAAGGAAACATCCTCCTTTGATAATCTTCCGGCATAAGAGTGTCCGTGCAAGTTTTCGAATAAGTTGTGGTTGTGAATACCACAACTAA